AACCAACTGGCGCGACGAAACTGCCTGGACCCCAAATGCGAAATTGACAGCCGAGGGCCTCTCGTGATTTGTTAGGCCCGCCTTCATTTAGGGCGGGCACAAATGCAACAGGGGCCCCCTTAGGCCTGCCGAGGAACTGAATCTTCACATTCCCTCCTCCTGTACTTCGATAGTCCCCTGAGAAGTCTTCTAATCTGCTGGCATCTTGCCTTTGGGATCTCTTTCGTAGCCTGCAATGACTTGAGGTGCAGTTCTCATGAGTTCTTCTCTGGTGAACCACCGATCTTCGCTAGGATCCAGATGATGTCTGAATCTGACGCGGTACTGCATTTTTKKCTTAGGAGGGCGGCMTYTGCYYGGTGGTSGAGGAAYRGGCATCACACRATGCTCCACGATCTGGTCGATGTCCACTTCGGCATCCATGGTTGGGGCCAGCATTGACCGTCTGGAAGGKAATTGTGCAGACTMKGCGAAAGGTGCCARCTTTGAGGCATGGAATACAGGGTGTGTACGTAGATGTGGGGGGATGCGAATCACATAGGAAGGTCCATCTATCTGATCTCCCACTATGTCTAAGACCTCCCAAGGACCGAAGTATTGTGGTATCAACTTTCTAGAAATTCCCAACTCCTGACCCAGTTCAGATGACTTTACCTAGACTCTATCACCTACCTGAAAGTTAGAGGGCCGTCTATGTTTATTCTCAGATGCGATCATAGCATCCTGAGACTTTCTAATATGTTCAACGGCCTGTTGCAGCATCTGTTCATACTTGACAGCAAATTCTATGCTGCCAGGTGCTGCAGTGGGTTGCCTTTTTGGTAGCAGAAAGTCAAGTGCAGTTTTGAGCTTCCAACCAAGATGCAGCTGGTTGGGGGTCATTCCAGTAGTACTGTGCACATCATTGTTGTACAGGCTGGCGACGAGAGGCAGTTTCTCGTCCCAGTCATCCTGACTTGGCTTAATAAAATGCCGAAGCAAATGCTGTACTACCCGGTTCATCTGTTATGCCTGGCCATTTGACTTAGGGTGATTTCCTGACGTCATTTGGAGCTTTGTGGCCATCTGTTCTACTGTTGATTGCCACAGTTCGCTGGTAAAGCGGACATCCCTATCACTGATTATGGACTTTGGCAAACCAAAATCTCGTACCCATTTATCCCTGAACAAACTGATGACGTAGTCAGTTTTGGTAGTTTCAGCCTTTCAGGCATAGCGATTAGTCTAGCATATTTGGAAAAACGGTCTACTATAACGAAGATGTGCCTTTTTCCTGACCTATAATGAAGTATTTTCGAATTTACATGAATTTCAAACGAGTTCCAAAAACAATAAATAAAATAAATAAATAAATAAAGGAATAAATTAGTTTTGATGTAAATCGAGGGCGGAGCGATCCTATCTACGATTGATTGGGTGGTAGCGTGGTAGGTAGGGTTAAAAAAGGGGGTTGCACGGGTAGATTGACGATGATGATGATGATGATGATGATCATCATGATCATGATGATGATGATGATGATGATAGTGATGGTGAGGGGGGGGGAACGTGGG